AGGTGGAATATAATATTTCGAGTACATGTTGAATTCGCCACCATACCTTGGAAGAACGCAGCTGACTAATTGTTTGGCAGCACTCTCAGAAATGTAACTTTAATTTACTTTATTGAATTTTTAAATTTTATAACGATTTCAAAAAAAGGAGGAGGTTTTCTATTTGGTTGTGTGTTTTTTTTTTCTTAGAAGACTTTATAGAATGAGGGAATAGAGAGTGCATCTATACTCGCGTGTACACTGAGTAACTATATTCCTGTCCTTCGCATATGGCTAGTGTCCGTTAAGACTGACGTCAGTCTGAAGTATATTACATTATTGGTTCTTGGTTTCCGAATTTTATTTATTGATTTTTTGTACCATGGATAAAATAACTCATTTAGGATAGACTAACTAAAGATATGTCTTTTGTTTTAATCCGTTTTGTTATCTATAATAATGGTATGTTACATCAAAATCTGTTCAGAAGATTTTGGGTGATTGAGTTACAGAAATACAAACATTTTAATATCCAAATATATAATAACAATTTAATATAAAAAATAAGTAGAAGTAGAAAGTAGAAATAGAACTAGAAACTAACTGTGTAGTTCACAGTTAAACATGATTTTCTTACATGGTACGGAAGTTTTTGAATGATATAATAGCGACAAATGAGCACACAGTGCATCTGATGGTGTGCGGATTATGTAGCCACCTACATATATCCCTGAATAATAATCAAATGTAAATGGGTTGTCACTCTGAAGACTAAGATAGAAAGTCTCGTTAGATTTAAGGAATTTACTCTTAGAATTCTATATACTTTTAAATTCATATAAAGCATAAAATGTATTCTGCACTCCACGTTTTAATTTAACTTATTTACCATGAACTCTCGACATGATTTTTGAAACGTAATAAAACATCTCGTTTTAAAATTTTTGCGCCGGCTGCTTTGTGGTAAATGTGTTTAAGTCAAAGCTTATGCATTCAGATTACGTACTGCGATTTAGAATTCCACAATGTGAATAGGTTTTAATAAAATATTTCCCTAAGATTTATTTAAATAAAACATCGTGGTACTTAATTCTGCTTTAATTTTTTTTAATGTAATGATTTCTTATATTTACGCGAACACTACACATTGAAATAATACTAGTTTTTAGGGATTTTATCGTGTATATTTAACTATAAATACCCGACGTTTCGAGCGCTTTACAGCACCAATGGCATGGTATGGCATGGCATGGCAGTTATAAAAAGTCCAGTTCTGGTTGTAAAATAGCAACCACCCACCCATGGTCATGGGGAGGACTCCTCCCCGTGACCATGGGTGCTGTAAAGCGCTCGAAACGTCGGGTATTTATAGTTAAATATACGCGATAAAATCCGTAAAAACTAGTATTTTTTAATGTTATTAAATGTTGCTATTTTACAACCAGAACTGGACTTTTTAGAACTGCGGCTAAGTATTCGTGGATGTTTCTAAGCGTCAGCGCATTTCTTTGCATTTCAAAGTTGCGTTATTATGTACCGTACAAATGTAATTTTTAATAGCAAAAACAAAATTCATAGATAACTAATAAAGTGCCAAGAAAGGAAGACTTTTTTTTTCTTTATTGGCTTCTGGATATAAGTTTTGTATGTCTTACCAGGTCGTCACTCCATCTAGTGGGGGGTCGCCCTACATTTCGCCTACCGGTACGAGGCTGATACACGATAACCTTTTTTCCCCAACTTTGTCTTAGCATTAGTTAGTTTTGAAGGGGACCCTTCAATCCGGGGGGGAATGTTTGCGTGGAAAAAAGGAAACGGGTCCTCTCACATTTTGTTTGGTTGGTTATTGTTTGCCAGTGTCTCTTTCCCTCCTATCAACGCATTCCATTCCACACGCAATGAAAGAGGGGGGAAGCTAAATTATGTGGTGCGATTTTGGTCACCAATAGGAAGCACGTCCCGCCGAGATGGAAGTGGTAGAAGTGGCCTGCCCATATAAGGACGTTTTCAGGTTATGAGGAATAGCTGACGAGAAGATGTGTGGTTTCCCGAACACTGCCCAGCCGAGTTGAATCCGTCGATTGACCTCTCGGCCTAAGTTGGACTTACTAAGTCGGACTATTTATTCCAGGTAAAAATAATCGTCAACAACTTAGAGCTTAGTGCTCCCAACAACTACCAGCATAGGTGTGACATGGATGTTACACATGATCTTCGTTTTGTCCATGTTTATCTTAAGACCTATCTATTGGCACCATTAAGTCCATGAGCATTGTGCTTAGGTCCTCTAGCGATTCTCCCATAAGGAATATATCGTCGACAAATCGAAGATGAGTGTTGTACTTGCCATTGATGTTAATACCGTATCCTTTCCAGTCCAGTAGCTTAAAAACGTCTTCCAATGCAGCGGTGAAGAGGTTGGGGTAAAACGTCACCCTGTCTTACACCTCTCTGCAATTGGATAGTTTTCTTACTCTGGTTCTGTACTCGGATAGCCATCGTAGCACAACTGTACAAACACTTCAGCACTTTGATATACCGACACTCTACTTGGCATCGCTGAAGGGACTGTAGCACCGCACAAATATCGATGGAATCAAAGGCTTTCTCACAGTCCACATACGCCAGGCAATATTCCTTATTCCACCATATTTACATAAGTACCACCCTTGGTAATAGGTTAAGAAACCCCTTGTTCTTTATTTCTTCTTACAACCTCAAAATATGAACTTTTGGTCCTACGAAAACCTAATTTTTTTTTTGAAAATACACATAATACCTCGGACCTTACTAAATAATAGAAAAAAAAATATTTTATTTCGACCATCATGATGTACCATATGTGTACTCATAATACAACAACACATAATAAAAATGACTTAATTTAAGTACTTTAAGTCTATCTGTTAGTAAAAAATAAAATAAAACTAAAGCCTACTTAACATAGGACAGGAACAATATCACATTATATTAACCATACAGCAGTGGTTCAAGTTATAATATGATAATAATGTGTGTAGTTAAAAATTACATAATTATGTATTATTATCACAAAAGTGTCAGAAGTAAAAATTATTCTCGCAATTATTCCTGCCAAGCTTGAAGATTAAGGCGAATCCCATAACAGGGGAAGCTCTTGGCCGAGGACTTTTACAAACTGATGAGGAATAAGAAAATGTGTAGTAGTAGCTGTATCTTGACTTATACATTTTTAAGTACCTCTGCAAATTAAAATGGGTAAAAGAAGCGAAAAGTTTATTAAATATAGAATTTAGATAATAATAGAAATGTCATGTCTTCCGGAACAAATTTCAGTCACGGCGTTATTACCGAAGACTAGCCATTTGCGCAGGTCAAAATTATTAATGCTCGAGTATGTGTGCATCTGATGGGACATAAATTTGACAAGACTTGAGAGAGATCTGGCGTAAAATCAACGGCTTTACGACTTTTCCAAAGCACCGGAGCGAAACACCGCCAAATCGCTGACTTTGGGCTAGTATTGAGAATTTCATGAGAGAAAAAATTATCTAATAACTAATTATTGAGCCAACCCGGTATGTCGGTAACTCAGACGGTACTTAACGCCCTGGATAGAAAAGTCCGCACTACTATGACGTCCATAGGATGCATCATCCGATATCTTCGATTGTGAGGCTGTACTTGCCGCGAAAGTATGGTGGGCGTGGCTTATTAAACGCGCTTACCATGCATAATTGCGTAGTTTGCAGCCTCCGTAATTACTTTCTGTCGAGATCGGATGATCCATTCTATAGAGACGTCATTTGTTGTGATAAAGGGCTAACCCCTCTATCTTTGGCGACCGAGCAATGGCATTTCCGACCCGGAGACTGTATGGAAGGAGAAAGAGCTCCACGGGAGGTTCTACAAAGTTCTACATTAACCTTTCGTAGACACAGTCGCCTCCCTCAACTGGCTACGTTTCGGTGACCTCTTCGGGGAAACCGAGGGTTTTGTCTGTGCAATACAGGATTAGGTTATTAAGACCAACAACTATCGAAGATACATCCTAAAGGATGGCACCATCGACATCTGTCGAGCTTGTCACCATCCCGGTGAGTCACTTAGGCATGTCATCTCCGGTTGTTCGGAGCTTTCTAACTCTGAGTACTTGCACAGGCACAAACTAGTATCCAGAATTTTACACCAGGAGCTCGCTCTGAAATACGGTCTCGTGGACCGGAAATTGCCGTATTACAAGTACTTGCTGGAAGCCGTGCTCGAAAATGACCGCGCCAGGCTCTACTGGGACCGGGCCATCGTCACAGACAGGACTATTCTTGCGAATAAGCCTGATATTGTGCTGATGGACCGGGCACAGTCTAGGATATTTTTGGTCGACATTACCATTCCATATGACGAGAACCTCGTGAAAGCCGAAACAGATAAGCGAACAAAATATCTGGACCTGGCTCACGAGGTGACTGACATGTAGGGTGGGCTGTCGACCGAAACTATACCTGTAGTCGTTTCTGCAAACGGGCTCAGTCAACCTCTCGGGTCATCTGAAGCGACGGGGACTCGGTGACGGACTGCTCCGGGCTCAAATGCAGAAGGCGGTGCTCCTCGATACTGCCCACATTCTCCGCCGGTTTCTTTCCCCCTAACCTTCAGTTGTTTGGCTTCCATCTGGTTGGGCTTTTATTTATTTATGTATTTTTTATATATTTATTTTATTGTTATTTATGTATATTTATCATTTTCGTTGGCAAATATATATTTATGGAACCCAACCAAATGAGAAAATTATATAGATACCCCAAAATAATAATAATAAGAGGGGCGTAGGTAATTGTCGAACCCATCGCCCGCTGACATAACAGTTCAGTGACAAAACCGCAACATTAGCGCAGTCAGTCAGCGCCTTGCCAAGAGGTCTGAGCGCCGTGCCTCGGCAGAATTGAGGGTGCAAAGGCTCATTTGTACTTACGGCCGGTGGCACATCATCTCCCGTTAATTTACACCCAATTTGTAGATGGTGGACAAAACATAGTGCGCATATGGCCGCGGCCTGGAGGTCACCAGGGCGCGACTGGAGCTGGCACTGGACGCGACAGAATGCGGGCTGCGAGCCAAGCACAGGTGCTGCAAGACCACCTAGCGGTCTCCCGCATCCTTCATCCTCACCACAAGGCTTGTTGTCGGCTGGGTCTTCCCATACTCAGCAAGCGATACCCGCCGCTGGTGGAGCACATCGCATGGGTTGGTCGAAAATAATGAACGCAAACGCATTGCGGGCGTACTTTAGGACAAACATGGAAGAAACTGGAAAGTTGGCGTATCGGGCTCGGGTGATTGCTTTTTGCAGAGCTGAAGCCATCACTAATATTGATGAGAGACGAGTTCGGTACATCCTGTCTCAACTTTTGGTGAGCCAAAGTCGACCACTACGAAGAGAGGCTTCCTAGCCATAGCATTTTCATCCGATGAGGAAACACCCTCATCGGATGAAAATTTACGGCTAGGAATGCCGTGCTAATAATTGCACAGCAACCTGCATATGTTGATGCCATGGATATTACAGTTGTGGTTGTTTCAGACGATGATGGAATAATATCTCACAAACTAAAGATAATGAGGAGCATATTGGAAAAGGCGATGTCGGAAACGCCTCTTGAAAATCGACCGCGACTTCCTCGCATACCCCTAACCAAGTGGAATTGGGCTGCCATGCGGGCTCCAAACCCAATGCTGGTGACTTATTTGGAAGCCAGTCGGGACCTTTACGAGACGGACTCAATTCTTTTTGGCACTGCACTGACTGTGTGCAGTATTATTGGTGCCAAACTTCCCGCGGCTGGATGTGCTACTAGATAAAGTAACGCCATTCCAGCCTGGAGTAAAAGAATTACAGACCGTATTGAAAAGGCAAGGGCTCTCATCGGCTAACTAACTAGACTAACAAGCTTGGTAATAATAGGCCGAGAGTTGTGCGCATCGTTAGAATTATTGACTCTGTGGAGTCAAGAAATTGGTATCGCTAGCTTGTGTTAATTTCTTGTATTTAAAAGTTGTATCACTTTATTTACTGCAACTAATTTTGTTTTTGCAAACATACATTAAATTTTCGTAAATATATTGATAGACCAAAGTTAATATATTTATTTCAGGAATTATTTCTTTGACAGATTCTTTCGGTTTTAGGTTGCACATAGCTCTTATTGTCCTTTTCTGGGTCTCTTTTGTATAATAGTGTTTGTTAATGTAAACATATTAAATAAAAATTAACGATATAACTATATCTGGGGGTCGTGTTAAAAACTATGAAACAAACAACATGTTATTGTGTTCTATGCCAAAAGTACTTAGAGTAAGCGGCAATAAATATGGTTATAAACTTGGCATTGATACAATGAGTGCGTCTGAAATAAGTGCTTGAACATTAACTTGCGCCAGTAGACGGTGCTAATCAGACCATAATGTAAATTAATGGGTAAACTTAAACGGGTCAATTGTTTACAAATTTTTATTATTTTGCTTTACAAAATATTAAAGTATTTTCAATCTTAATTTTGCTTGCATGAAATGCACGCGTGCAAATTATATTCAATTTACTACATATTTATAGCAATTTATAATAATAAATAAAATAAAACAATCAAATAATGAGGAAATAAAACTAAAAAAATTGGTTGACCCTGAGGGCAGGTGACGTGCGTTCGTGGAATTTGGCTGCTGGGATTAATTCTAATAATTCCTCAGAGCACTCCCCGTGGTATATGCGATAGGAGATGCAAAGGGTGGAACATCTCTTCGCAGCGCCAGTGAATGTCTAAAAATTCATTCAAACACCTTTCATGTATGTGTATACATTTTTTTATCTTTCTGAACTAAATATTATTTTGTGTTTGTAATAATTAAAATTGCTGATATATTAGACGTTAAAAAAGCAAATTGAGAATATAAAAATAAATTTAACCAAATTAAGTAAAACAAAAAGAAGTAAAAAGTTGTTAGAACAGAAATACTATATATAATAATGATTTTTGTTTCTTAAAAAAGAATATTCACTTTAAGTAGTCCATTTTTACAATATGATTTTCAAGTAACACGGCACATTCTTTTTGTTTGAACATAATGATGGGACCTATAGGCCCTAGATCAACATGAGACCTTTAAAATAAGCAAATAATTACAAAGTAATCTATAATTTGATGACAAGAAAAATTAAGCATTTGTTGCAAGTAGGAATATTTGTTGTTGTAAGCTGATTAGGCTATGATGAGTATCTTGTATTAAAAAATTATAGAAGTCTTTACCTAATACCATTATTTTTCAGTATTCCCAGTACAGTACTGACCGATTTCTTGGAAAACAAGTATTGTGCCTCCTTTTCATCATTCTCCAAAGGTTGAAGCCAAGAAGTTGGGTTTGCAAGTTGCTCATCTGTCAGAGGTGTATCAAACAGGAGGAGATACATTACTTAATAATTGTTTGTGAGGAAATTGAATCCCGTTATAAATTTAAAGAGTAAGTCACTAAGATTTTAGCACCATTACTGAGTTTGACAACAAAACTGCTACTTATCTTCTACCTGTTATGACAAGGAATGAAGATGTTACAAGGAAGTTAATAGATTTTATCAATATTTTAGTCAAATTATTAAAAATGAGTACGAGCAGTTACTAATTTCCTTTGTCGTAAAAAAAACTCGTTTATCTTAACATGCCGAATTACGTTTGGGATCTAACTTTGAAAATTCTATCATCTCATAGCCAACATGAGAAATAATCTGTTGACTAAGCAGTCAGTCACGGCAATACAGTTAGAGATGTTAGAATCTAGACAAGGTCCACAGACTACCGAAGAATTTGGTAAGAAACCTGAGGATTTGTTTGTTGAATTAACCATTTCCCAAACTAACGGTGATGATAACGATTTTAAAATATTTAGAACTGTAAATAAAAATTAGCAATATAGTAACTCATCGAAAGTTTGAGAAACAACTTAGGCTTAAAATCTACACCGTACCATTTCGTAGTATTTGCAGTTTGAATATTTCCATTGCATCATTGCTAATAAAGGGACACGTAATACTACCTACGATTATCTAAAAATAAGACATGGTCAAGACAACACTCTCGGCCGGCCAGGTGAATGTACCTTACGGTGTTACGGAAGAGAAAGGGCAGGGAGACGCGTTTGTTTTTACAAAGAGTCAAAACTACTTTTAGATTTGTATATAGATCCTGTATTATATATCCTAAATCTGTAGCCGAGCACGAGCGCTGAACGCCACCGATAGCTTCTGATTCCAAAACTCCCTTACAAATGTGTGTGTGCTTATAAAATAGAAGCGCGTCATATTTATGAATGATAATCGAGTAAAATAATGATTTTCCACACATTTTGAATATAAAGGATTAAAATGATTAAATATTTCATCTAATTTTTCTTGTTTATTTTTTCCACCATTCACTTATATTACCTTTTTGTGTAGTCTTGTCTTTATTACGGTTACAGCCTATCGAAAGTCTAACGCTGAACATATTTCTATAGATTGCCTCTTAAAGCTGATATTTACCATAGTTTCTACACTTGGCAACCACAATTGTCTAATCTATCTCCTGGTTTATTTTCTTCTGTTGCCTCTCACGATACTCATGGGAAGATATGGGGTCATATCTTACAGCGCAATTACACGGTTTGAATACATACCAGCAATAATTATTAAACTGTCGAAGTCAATTCAAATTAATGTTTATTCCAGTCGTTAGCAGTAGCTACATAATATACAAAAATTGCGTTTAATTTTCCTAATGCGATTGTGATAACATACAATAATTCTACACCATTAAGCCACGTGAGCCGCGCTCGTAACAGCGGCAGTCGTAAATAGTTTTACGGGCGTTAAATGCATGTGTGGACGTGAACGAATGGGTGTTTTATATTGCACTAAATTTAAATTAAATTAAATTAACCTTTATGTCTCTTGATAATTAATAGGATTAGCCGTGACTTTGCGGAAATCCGTTATTATTACGAATTAAAAATTAATTAAAAATAAACTAGTTAATTAATTCTCGACATGTTTAACCTCATGTTTTTGTAACATGTCCCATAATTCAATTTAATTTAGGATAACAAATATTTACACAAGAGTTTTAAAATTAATACATATTATAATATTACAAGATGACCATTATCCTCAAAACAAAATTGCTTTCTTTTTTAAATTAACCGCGGCTATTGAATCCCGCACGAAAAAAGTATTTAAATGACATACAAATATAATTATTTCAGGTCCTATTGATCTTATTTTTGAGAAATTTATGCATATTTACTGCCCCCACGATGCAGGAGAAAATATTAGTATGAAAATAACGCATAAAAAACTATGTTAAACATTTTCATAGAAAAAAACTCTGTGAAAGACCAACAAACACGCGATATGATATGTGAGGCAAAACATACACAAAAAATATGTCAGATCTCTAATTATATCGAGCCTAGCGATATTATGTGGACGCCTGATCTTCCGTCCCTTTATTCCGATTTAATGAAGCGTAACATAAGTTTGTATTTCAACGGCTTGCCTTTATACGTTGTAGAGGATGTGAGGAATTCTAAACCTTATACGGGTGAATACACAATATCTTAGGGCGTTGTACAAAATGATTAATTTGCAAGTGAAATAAATCCAAATACATAAAATAAATGAACGTTGTAATGCCGGTGCCGGAACTATATCGGATAGTGGATATCCACTATCCGATATAGTTCCGTGGGTGTCGTAAGAGGTAATAAAGGGAAAGAAACCCGGAGATAGGCAGCAGCGTTTTAATAATCATCATCTTTATCAACATGAGAGCCCTTCACAAGTTCACTGATGAACATAGGCCTACCCCAAGGAATGCCACAAATGTATGTATAGGTCTTCCTTATATCAACTAAAAACTACGGTTTCCAATCCGCCTACCAAGTGTGGCAGCTATGGCAAAACACCCCCCCCCACCCCATGAAACTATCTGTGGGAGAGGCCTAAATTTCACAGTACGCGATCAATCCAGGTTCTATTCCGGAGGCACAAATGATATTGCAATCTGCGATTTCAAATGGTATTTGCACGTACTTGGCGGTGAAGGAAACTTGTATGCCTGAGGGATAAAAATATTTAGAAGACATATTTTTATTTCTGATATCTACTAACAAATACTGGGGTGGATAAATTGGTCCATAGCCCTTTTAGAAAAATGATAGAGTTATTTAGGCTTTATCTTTCCCTGTCGTACGTGAAGTAAGGAAAGCTTTTTATTTGCAATATTATATTATTTTCAGTTGATTTTAGTACATATAAAGACATCATTAAAATCTAGGTTTAATGTAATTTTATGGCTGTTTTTTTTAGGCCCGTAAGTAATAATAGAAAGTGGATGGTATCATCTCAGTATTTGTCTGTCCTTCCTCAGATACCATTTTACATAAATAGTGTTACGAGCTTGAGGTTCGTGACGATAAAAGTTGCCGATAAAATTACCTAAATTAACACTTTAATTTTCTTTACACAAATTTAAACTTAAAACACTAATAATTAATCACACTGATTCACTTTATTCCGCTCCGAAGCTTCGCTTGTCTCGCCAAATTCAATACTTCCCCGATCGCACCTTGCAGCGCCTATAAATACACATTAGTACCGAAACATCCAGAACATTCAAGTAAATACGCGCACCAATTGACAAAGCGCCGAAAGTTCGAGTCTCAGATTCTAGAAGCTTAGTTATTCGTTTTGACAACAGATGGCGCTGTCGGTTGAAAGATTAGTGATGTCATTTTCTGGAAAGCTCTCTCCTCGCTCTGTTACCCGACACTAGATG